GGCAGTGCTGTTGTCCCCATTGTCCAGAGGGGGATCTGAGGCACAGGGAGGCTAAGTGACTTGCCCAAGGGCCACACAGGAAGTCAGTGGTGGAGCAGAGAATTGAATCTGGGTCGCCGGTTAGTGCCCTAACCATGAACAGTCCTTCCTCAGGCAGGGGCATCGCATTATGGTTGCTGTTCAAAGAAACGCTTTCTTAATTCCCCTTTCTTTTCACTCTCCCATTCCTCTCCGGACAGCTGGGCACTGTTCAGACTGATAGTTCGGAACGCATGGCCGGCTGGCTTAATCCACTGCTAGCAATGCGTGTTTTATCTTATTCGCCATTAGACTCCGGCTGGAACGAATCGAGTCTCAGGCTGGTGTCAGCGCTGCTAGTCTGAGCGTCTGCTTTTAAACCATCCCTTGAGAGGTTGCACCTGTTTTATCTGAAGAGAACTTGACACCGAAGATAAATAATAACAAGCAAAACAGCTGAATTAGCTGCAGCGTCACCTGCAGGGCTGAGGTGAGGGGAGACTGAAAGAATCAGGGATTGTCTGTGGAAAGAGGACTAGCCTGGCCCATTAGCTACAGCCCTAAGCAAGGGGAGCTGCAGGATCGGCCCCAGGAGGCACTGGGCTTCAGTCACCCCGCCAAGGTACAATGGCTCCTCTGCTCACCTCTTGTTCTGGGGAGGAAAGCAGGTTACTGCAGCCTTTGAAACTACCTTCCCCCACTGCTCCTTTGGGATTGGGGGATGGAGCCCTGTAGTCTGGATGTGGCTGGTTCGTATATCTGGGAAGCCCTAATAACCACATTTGATCCTGCATCACCTTTGCCAAAGCATGGTCTAGTAGTAAGAGCCTCTGCAACTGCTCACAAGAGACCTGCCTCTCGAAAACCATCCAACAAAGAGAAGAAGACACTGAGAAGTCAGCTCTGTGCTCTTGGTAAACGTTAACATCCTTCCCTCCACACGCACAATTAACTCCACATCAAAGCCATTAACTGAAGACACTGCAGAAGACTAGCTCAGCTTTGTAACTTTCCCAGGCACTTATGCAGATCACTGCACAGTAATTAGATATTGACATATCCCCTCCCACACCTCTGCATGCCTTCAAGCTCATTAAAAGCAATTCTATGGTGTGGCTCCCCAGGGAGCTGGCTGGCAGTGGCTTGTGAAAGAGAGAGATGCTTTCTGTAGCACAAACAATCTCACCAACATCTGGGCTTCTAGACAGATAACGAGATCCTCTACCATGGCTCTTTCCAAAAGGAACTGGACGATGGACTAATGGCATGATCTGGCATAGTAAGTCCAATGGATTTCCCAGCGACCTGCCCTGGTGGGGGCGGGATCAAACAGAGAGATCCACACCCAGGTGATCCGCTCCGCCAATATGGGCATTGCTGGGATGTGTTCAAAGAAGGTTATTTATATTGTCACCATAGAAAGTGAGGTGGCTCAAAAGGTTCACAGCTCAATGGAGTTACGCCGGATTTACACCCATGTCCTAAAGCAGAATCAGGCTCAGCATTTTCCTAAGAAGCCCTGAAAGCTTTTTTTTTTTTTTAAGGACTCCATAATATAATTAAATCTGCTCTGCTGTAAACAGTTGCAGTAGGCTGGGTGGGCCTCCTTGTATGTGTGCGGCTCAGCGTCCCCCCGGGCACAGGAAAAGAAGCTTCTTTCTGAAGCAGTACGTCAGTCTCTGACAGGGTTTCTGAGTGAGTTGCCGGTCCCTTTAGAGCACTCACAGGGCCAGCGCAGCTGCTCGGCTCCGTTACCTGCTGTCGATTCGCAAAGGCGCCATTATGGAATTGTAGCGCCCTTTCCCTTTGCTGCCATTTACGCCAGCCCCTGGAAGGCTGGGTATGAAATCTGCTCCCTCTCGTGGGCTCAGAACTTCCCCACAGCCTGAATCCAGCTCCAGATCTAAACTTCCCCTCCAGGGCCCTTCTCTAGCAAAAGAGCCAGGAGCTTGGAGTAGCAGAGTTCACCCACGATGGCCTCAATAGTGCAGCACAGATTTGTGCCATCTGGAAATGGCTAGTGAAGATGCATTAGCTAGGTCAGTTTGCTCTGCACCCAGACAGTCAGATCCCCATCACGATTGTAATATGATTTCTGAAACAGAGCTGCTGCAAGCAGATGAGCCGGAGGCCTCCTGGGTGCAGTCTATGTTATGGTCTACTTAGCAGTTAACAATCGCATCCATCACAGGAGGTGAGGGGGTCTTTGAATCATTCAGTGTCTTCAGCACCAACAACTGAAATGAGCAGTGAGAAAAAATCATCCTCTCTTCTAAATAACCCACTTATTGCCTTAATGGTAGCAGAGTGGGAGCCAGACGGTCATTCGCAGTAACATCCAAAGGCCCCCGTCGGAATCGGGGCAGGATTGTGTTAGGAGCTGTACAAACACAGTGGGAATAACCGAGGCCTTTTCCTGGCTGCACAGGGTGGAAGGGTGTTACACACATTTGGCCCTGTAATTACAACATTTTATGGGGGAACTCTATGGCCTTGTGATCTAGGCACTCGACTAGGAGATCGGGGCTCAATGCTTAGCTCTGCATGGCTTTGGGCAAGTCACTTATCTCTCCGCACCTCTGTCCCCCATCTGTAAAAGGGGGATAATGATCCTTCCTTTGGCTGACATGTCTATTTAGGATGCAAGTTCTTTGGGGCGGGGCCTGTCCCACTACGTGTATGTACAGCACCTAGCACAGTGGGGCCCTGATTTTCATTAATACAAATAATGAAGAGTACCACAGACCACACGTAAGTGGTGAGAATGCAAAGCCTGCACTTTGCATTGGTGTGGCGCAAACCCTGCCTCTCTCTAGCAGCCCTGCCTTTGGGATAACCCAGCTGTTGCAACTTAGCTGCTGTGTGTGCTGCTGGTCCCTGGAACTCTCTAGTCAGGAGCCTGGATGCGCAGAAACCTTTCAGAGCCCCGTGGCAGGGCACTTCTCTTTGTGAGAGTGGCTCCTACTCGCTCTCACGCAGTCCTCGTCTGGCATGGATTTCAAGCACGGAGCCGTTCAAAGGGAGCCTCACAGGAACACAAGATGCTTTCCTGTAATAATCATGCCCAAGACAAATCCTCAGAACCACCAATTACATAATGAAGAGCAAGGAGAGTCAATGGTGTGCTGCTGCTGGGGAGACAGCGCTGGTTCCGAGAACCTGATATCATGTCCTTCGTCTGTGCCGCGCAGACACGGATTGATTTGAACAACGTTCACACACGTGAGCGCCAAAAAGACTCTAGGAAGTCAAGACAGAAGGCTACACACTTCTCTGCTCCCACAGCTCAGCTGTGTGAGGCAAAACCCATTTCTGAGCCCACGCACACTACAGCCTGGTTTCCCTTTGCTCCCCCGTGCAAATCAAACTTATTCCCCATTTCCTCCCTGATCTTTCCAGTGTCCCCGTCCCCAAAGGGTCCTGCAGCCACTTCTCAGGCTTCCAGCTGGCTGATAAGACTCTCTAGCCAGCATCTCCCAGCAAACTCTGGCTACTCTATCCAATCCTAATATGTGACACTCCTCACCATGGCAGTTGGACAGGCCACAGGGGCTCAGAGTACCAACGAAAAGACGAAGAGAGTTGCGAGGGTCAAAGATTTGTCATCAGAATATTTATTTCCAACAGAAAACGGCTTTTTTTTTGCCAGCATGGAAATTTCCACGCAAAACCTTTGTTTTTACTGAAAAATGTTTGAGTTTATATCAAAGGCTGGAAATTGCCCCAGGAATTTAGACATTTTTCCTGAAGGAAAAATAATCATTTCCTGGCGAACTTTAGTCTGTATCTTAGAAACCACTTTTATTTTTAAGCATTGTATGCAATGGTTGATCTCCCACAAGGTTTGTTTTGTATGTTCAGTCCAGGGCAAAGTGGTTCGAAGGAACAAGCATCGAGCTGCACTGCTGAGTTCCCTGCTATGCTACTGATTAGCAGTTCACCTTGGGCCAGACACGCAACCGGTGTTTGCCTCAGTTTTCCCATCTGTTCAGTGGGGATGTTTCCTTACTCCCGGGGTGCTGAGAGCATGTATGTAAAGTGCTATACAAGTGCTAAAGATCATCGGGAGAGACTTAATCTCCATTTCTTTACATGGGTTTGATCACGAGTCAAGCAAAAAAACCTCCATTCATTGCAGTTCTTGTTGCCTTAAAAAAGAGTGACTGTTTGCAGAGCATGCTGAGATCCCTGTCTAGGAGGTGCAATGATTATCGTCTGTTACAGTATCATAGTCTTCTAGCTGCAAAGAAATTGTGGCTGGAGAGTTGAGGACAGAGCGATTTCAATGTCAAAAAAGACCATCCTGACCTGGGAAAGTGGGGAGAGCGTGGTACCCAGGGGCTGTGTGCTAAGTGGCTGGGGTGGAGAAACAAGCTGCAAAGGATTGGCTAGCACAGGAAGGAAATCTGATAAAACCGCTCGAGAGCCAGCACTGTGAACAGTGCAGTATTGCACAGCTCCGGAGCCAGCTCAGAAGGGAAGACGCGGCTCCTGTCTGGTGCCTGTGAGTGCAGACAGCTGTGTGCACCGAAACCACACACGCTGCTCCAGTCAGCGTGGGTCTCTTTGCTTTCAGCACTGCACAGCGCGGGCAGGGTTTCCACCAGGACGAGGGAGAAGCAGCTCCCGTTTGTTCTTTTAACCAGGCACGCCAATTGGAAGAAAGTTGGGTAATTACTTGGGTCTGGGATACTGGCCAAAAATAGATGATTCAAAGTCAAGGAACAGTCTCTGAAAGGGCCTGAGCCCGATACTCTTAGCCAGCAGGACACGCTGAAAGCTGTAAGAGGATGCTAAAAGTAGGCGATCTCCGGAGCTGTGCAGCATATCAAGGCTAGGACAGAAACTGTTGGGAACTCTTTGGGACCGTATTCCCATAAGGAAGAGCCCCAGAAGACAGAGAGAGCGTGCAAAGGAAAATAAGGAAATACTGGATCCGATAGCCTGTAGCTGGTTCAGGACCAAACTTCCAGCAGGTGCAGCTCTGTTCTAAGACTAGAGGAGAGGCAGTGCTGGGGAATATACTGCAGGGCATGATCCTGCCCTGGCCGGGCTGGGGTGCAGCAGGTGGCCCAGTAGGGCCATTCCATCTCTAGGGTCCTTGATGCTGTCTGGCTAGCCCTTCTCTGCTGGCTTCTGGCTGAGGAAGGAAAGCCCCAGAGCTCCACACTCGGGTTCGTGGCCAACAGCAAAGGCAGGAAAAAAGAACAAGGGAAGGACGGATAAAGAAACTCCTCTGAGAATGTCCGACCAGGAGATTGAGGACTTTGAAGTGGACAATCTGTCTGACACGTCCCGGATGATCCCCGGCCTCCCTCCTTACGACATGGACGACCAGCTTCTTCCCCTGGAGCCCCGGAGCACCTGCTGCTGCTGGGCTTGGACCCTGCTGATCGTCGCCACGAACTCTCTGGTCTTCCTCGTGAACTTGCTCCTGGTGGTCACCATCTTTGCCGTCGTGCTGCTGCCGACGATCGTGGTGGTGTACTTCGGCTTCCAGTGCCACTCCCGGGTAAGTGAGCGTGGCCCGGCCCCCGTGTGGGCCTTGGCACCCCGACCCAGGACAGGGCCCTGGCTTCCCTGGGATTCTTGACTGAGCTCCTTTGAGAAAAGAGGGCGGGGACAGCGGCTTTAAAAACTAGACTGGGATTTCTGAGCTTTAGCTGAATTTTCAAAAGACGTGGATGGGGAGACGGAGAGGGGGTGTGTGTGTCTGAGTCAGTGGAGGTGAGGGACAAATGGACAGACAGAATGTGCTCTGGGGTGTGACACTTTTGCACACCAGCCATTGCAACTGCTTCCAAGTCCCCCAGGAGAACTGACTTTAGCAACAAGTCCCCTGTAGGGCCTGATCCAAAGCCCTTCCAAATCGCTGGGAGTCTGTCCTTTGACTTCGCTGGGTGTTGGATCGGGTCCTTATTCGAACCCTTGCCAGGTGCTCCTGGCCTTCTCCTCTGAGCAGAGGCCACTAAGGTGGGATTCACAGGTGGGAGCAATGGGGTTGGTAAGAACCTAAGGAACAAAAAAAGCTGGAGACCAACTTTCTAGAATAACCAGTCCCCGCCCAGACAGAGTCCTGGCTTGAGCCGGCTTGGTTTTAAGTCCATTCCTGGGGTAGAAACAACAGATTTTTTTCCCACTAGTAAAATATTTCCTAGGAAAAAAACAAAACGATTGTACTGTTGGGCCAGGCCACTCCGAGCCTGGCGTTGGGGGGTGGGATTAGATAAACCCCGTGCACTGGGGCAAGCAAACATCCCCTCTCCTGCGTGCAGAGAGTTTAGATCCAGCCTCCCCGGCTTGAGATTTCAAGTTTCCTCTACACCGCTACTTGAATCTCGACAAAGAAATCCCACCTTTAGCCCTGTCCCTCCCCAGCTGCAGGATTTTGTTCCCTGGACAGTGGGCTGACAAGCGGGCCGTACTGATCATAAAGAGATTTTACAGCAAAGCCCTTCGCACTCGGGCTAAGCTCCCATAGAAGATCATGGGAGTTTGGGGCACACAGCTGATGCAGGGGTGGACCTTTGGGGTTTACATTGCCCTGCAGCTGGTTGTGCATTCAAGGGGGTCCCCTCCTTGCTGGATGCATGTGGGGTGACTCCCATTCACAGGGCATGATAGAGGAACATAGTGCACCAGACGTCTATACGTCCTTTGATCTAAGGCTCTCCAAGCCCTTGACAGACATCCCATGCACCCACCTGCCAGGTCAGGCAGCACCCGGCTCTTATCTTCATTCCAGAGCCGTGGAGACTCAGGCACAGCAAAGTTACACGTGTTGCCCAGTGAGCCAGCGAAGAGCCAAGATGCGAACGTAGAGCCCCGAGCCTCTGTGACTTTTCCCCTTGTGTCGTCATTGGTGCAGGTGCAAAGGGATCTGAAGGGCAGCGTTTGACACCCAGTGTGCACTGGTGTAAAAGGGCCAGGCCAAGGGGGATGCATGACGCTCCTCACCATTTATTCAGCATGCATAATCGTTGCTTCTTTCAGTGCTGATTTCTTCTGTGACATGGAGCTTTAACAGAGGGTGTGGGTGCAGTTTGCATGCTGAGGCAGTCCTGGGCACGCATACGTGGCACATGTCCTCCTGTGAATTCCTTTGTCTGGCCATCTGCAAAGTGCCCTCAGTGAAAGGGTTAAAGCAGTTCTGTGGGATGCTCTCTCCTATTGGGGCTCAGTTATGTTGTAGCTCAGCTAATGGGACTTCCCCCTCAGTGCCACAGGGGGTCTCACCCCGGCCTCAGTGGTTGGGCTCCTACCCAGCCCTGGCACTCGGTGCAGGACTAGACGGCTGTTAATCTTTGGATGAGATGTTAACACGGCGGTCCCTTTGGGGCTGGAAAGGAGGAAGTGAAAGATCCCCTCTCTGTGGCATTTTAGGAGAGGTTTGCAACAGCCCCGGACACAGGCCTTTCCCTAGAGCTGTGTGAAGCTTCCCATCTCTGAGGCCAGATGTGTTTGCAAACTTCAGCCCTTGCTTGGGGAATGGGAATGCGGCTGGACTGAGGTTTGTTCACCCAGAGAAGAAGCCGGCAAGCAGCCCATCCCCCATGGTACGCCCTCATCCCCACCCCAACAACAGCATCCCCCTCCTCCCGAGTCCCGACCATCACAAGAGCCTTCCCCCCGGCAGCCTCCAGGATAATAAGGGGATTCCTTGGAGCTTGTGGGGAGATCTCCTGGCAAGTCTGTTTGTCCCCCTCAAAACTCCAAGGGAACCAGGAAGTCTCCAGCCTCTGTGAACTGAACGGCACGGCTCAGCTTGACCTTCCTGGCGTGAGCTGACCCCTGCACGGCTCCCATGGCCCTCAGGTGCTGGAGGGGGGGCTCATGTGGGCGAACCACACATGCCCCCCCATACAGTGTTCTCCCCTTCTGGGACACTGGCAGGTTGCAAGCTGAGCTCTTGCTGCGCACATGACAGCTACATCTGCTGCACTTCCCATCTCATCTCATCTCCCCTTGATACATGGATCTACAGCAAACCAATCCTATTCCACGCGGACGTTCTTTTTACCCAGCCTAGTCCTGTTTTTTATGGGAAAACTCCAACTCGCCTACCTAGAGCAGGTTACATTGATGTGCCCCTTGTGAAATACACTGGAGACCAGAACTCCAGATCGGAAATTCTGAAGTTCAGCTTCCGATGCAAATCCAGAGCCAGATTCAAAGCTTGGGTCTGTCTTGTCTTTAAGCGTGTGGGGGTTTTATATAGTGAGAAGAAATCGGTTCAGCTTCCAATCTGTCTCGTATATTTGATGTGTGTCTGCAGTACTTGGGCAGATCTGGAGGCAAGGCAGGGTTCGGTATTGCTGATTTCTCTGAGGGCCCAAATCTGAAGACTTCAGTTAGTGTCTAGTCTCCGCTTGCTTAGGCAAAATTCCCTTTGAAGTCAGTGGGAATTTTGCTCAAGGAGTGAGAAAGCCCTCCAAGATTTGGCCCCTTGTTATTCAAAGAGCTTTTGCACCAGTTTTACCCCAGTGTAACTCCATTGACTTCACTGGAGTTCCTCCTGATTGACACCAGTGTGAGATCAGAATCAGGCTCGGCAAGATGCCAATCATAGGGGACGTGTGCTTTGCTCCACATAGGAAGGGTTTAACCCCGTGAATGCTGGCAGGAGTGCTCTGGATTCATTCTGACACTCCCCTGTAAGTTCGGGAGCTGTAGCTCTGTCAGGCGTCATTTTTTATTCCTGTTTTAATTAACGAGCAGCTGTGACACAGATCAAGTAAATACACTGCCTGGGTCGACAGAGAATTCTGTGCAGCTTCAGTTACTCACTGCAGTTTGCATTTTAATGTCACAATATTTCTCTGTAACTCCCCTGCAGCATCTACACTACAGAGGCAGCCAGAGCAGATGGCTCACAGCCCTCCCCTGTGATTTGCAGCCTCCCCCCATGGACTTTAATTTGTTTTGTTAATTTCATTTTAACGAAGCCCTCTTCAGGCAAGTGTCATTCTCTGTGATCTACCTAATGATAAGAACAAGATCTAATAAAAGATACACACACACACACACACACACACTCCCGTCCTGCAGATCTGGGCTAGCTTCCCAGATGCACGGGCTCCAGTTTTTTATTTATTCCCATTGAAAAAATCATTTTGTTCCCATTTAGTATTCTGTCTCTGTGCGTGTTGGTTTCACTTGGATGCTCTGCTCTGAGTTATTGGGGGGATTTTTAAAGAATGTTTATGGATTTTCATTTCTCGTCATTTTCCCCTGTTTTGCTCCGACATCATTTGTCCGATGTGGGGATATGATATGAACATCTCTGTCCTTGTGCCATCATAAATTTGTTTTCCTGTCTGGGTGAAAGGAGACAAAAGAATATCTTGGCAAATACAGACTAAGGCCCAAATCTTCAAAGGTAGTTAGGGAGCTAATTCCTGTTAAAATCAATGGCACGTAGGCACCCAAGTACATTTGAGGATCTGGGGCTAAAGCCCTGATCCTGCTTTGAGAAGTGGCAGGGCGCAGTCTGGAGTCCATGCAGAGCTCCCCTGATATGAATGGAGTACCATGTGGGCAGAGGGGTTCAAAAATGCCAATCTCAACGCAGGATCAGGGCTGTGTATGGCTTACATTTTTAAGTCACTCATGATTCTGGGTGTCTCCATTCTTGGGGTGCCCATCTTAAAACACCTGAAAAGGAGCTGGACTTCAGTCAGGACTCAGCACCCATCTTCTGAGAAGGTTTCCATCCGAATACTGATCCAGCCTGATGACTAAAGTAAACCTCAAATCAGAGGACAAAATCTAATGATGCTGCAAGGCTAATGGAAGCCAGGCTGCGTCACACTGTAGTGTGGAAGGGATTAGCTGATAAAAAGTCAGAACCTACCAAACGCTGCTCTGGTTTTTGCTACTAGCCTGAACTCCATAATTCCTCAGATGCTTAAAGATAGCAATAAATGTAATAACGATTCAAGAGACACAAACAAGCTGAAGTCATTTGTGTGACCAGTATCCCTGGATACGTCCACTGCGGAAAACTGCAACTTCCAGTGTTTTCTCTCTCTATGACCCTGACCCAACACACTCTGAAATCAATGGCAAGACTCTCGTTTGACTTCAGTAGAGCTGGATTAGAGGCTAAGTTATTAAATATATTGTAGTTCATAAAGAGCCTTATCCGGCTCCCAAAGACAGTGTCTTTCCATTCATTTGACCAGTAATTGGATCAGTCTGTAGAATGTGCTCACTTCAGGATCCAGTCTCGGGGGTCCGATTCTGCACATACGCACTACCTAATATAGTGCTTATTACCGTGACTAATCTATTGAAACCACCTGGGAATATTGTATTTGCAAGCCTGGGCTGTAATTACCAATCCGTCATTGTTAGAAATAAGCTGTGTAGGAACCCATTTCTTCTCTCTCTCTCTCTCTCTCTCTCTCAATATTAGGGATGGATCCTGAACTGCTTACTCAGGGAAAATGCCCATTGACTCCACTGTGAGTTTTCCCTGCAGGACTGGGCCCTTAGGTACTGTCAATTTCA